GTACAATTTTGGTTGATCTGTGCTACCATGTTCGATCATCCTTGGACTATGATGTTTGACGAATTTCTAGAGGTGACTCCTGTAAGATGCATACAGGAAATGAAGACTAAAGTCATCGCGGGTTTTCAGAACGACGCGGTTGACAAAGTTGAAATCCACAAGGGTGTCAGAAAGATTTTCGATCCGGAATATGAAGATTCCGAGGAAGAAGATGCTCCAGTCGGTGACAAAGATAATGGCTTGGTTAACAGGTACGCCCAACCGGACGGGTGGGATTCAGATGAGACCGGTGACAACAGCAAATTTGACAATAAGACTGAAGACGATGCTGATGCTGATGCTGATGCTGATGCTGATGCTGATGATGATGATGATGATGATGATGATGATGATGATGATGATGATGATGATGATGATGATGATGATGATGATGATGATGATGATGATGATGATGATGATGATGATGATGATGATGATGATGATGATGATGATGATGATGCATCCGAGGAATCCGTCATTATTGTTGAAAGCACTTGGCCGACCAACAATGAATTTGGTGGCAGCCGATCCGGCAGAGGTTGCCACGCTGAGACTCGCACCATCACTGATGAAACAGTCTCCAAATTGACAGGAAACACAGGTGATGAATCTGACCCGGAATTAGCGTCCCTGCCAAGAAAGAAAGGACGCTCTCAACGGGTGTCAATTGATGAACAAGCTACCGCAATGGACATGGATGGAACGGACCCAAGCGTAGGTTCCCGACCCAGTGGAAAGCGGCTGCATCCGGCGCCAAGGTTGACTAAGCCTGCTACACAGGAGCCGGCAAAATTGAGGCCTACAACAAACTCTCCTGGAGCTAAACGGAAATCCCAACGAACTTTGACACTGGAAGAGCGCCTGGATGATTTGCGCAATGTCAATCTGGATGGAATGGAAGGCAGGGCTATGTTGGTCGAGTTGGGCATGGTCTACAATTACTCAGGTCAGCAGGAGGGTAACCAATCACATGCGTCCATTATCCTGAACCATATTTTGGACACCTTGTCCGACACACTCAAGAACACAGAAGAGACCCTCCGTATACTACCACTTTCCGACAGGACGTATAAGAACACGCAGATGTGGATTCGCAACAAAGCCGACCTTCGGCGGCTGATTCCTGATTACCGCGGGTTGTCACGATACCTCGATATGTCCTTTGGCAACATGTCGTACGCGTTGATGTCGAACAAGCCGGGAGAAAAGAAGCTACGCACACGGCTGAGAGTAGGTTTTGAGGCTGATGTGTCGTTGGAGATGATCCAGCAATACCTGCATGGAGAATTGCAACATCAGGGACGTGGCGCCGGATGCTACTCATCAGTTCTCCAGTTTGGCGACATTGAAAAGATTGGAGCCTTATGTTTTTACCCTCAGGAGATCAACATTAAGGCCATCGAGAAAGAACTGATGCGTCATTTTGGTTGGGATATTGTATTGGACTACGGTACGAATGGGTTAACATCCCGTACAACGGACGCAGCAAGTGGAACGAAAGAGCACCAGGGTGCATGATGTGGCACGTCTACGTGTATAGAAAAAATTATTTCAGAAACAAAACAACACGCATTCCGGCAGAACCAACCAGTCTGCCTCGCGTAGCGCTAGTACTGAATTTACGTAGAAAACTTTCGAATTTATCTCCAAGCCAACCATTCAACACCGGCGCACCATGGGCAAATCTATCAACGCGAAGGCATCCTCGGCGATGACAAAAAAGTCGGGCGTGTCTAAGATGAAAACAACCCCTGTGGCTAAAAAGTCCGTCAAGAAACGAGTGGAAATTGACCTACAACAGCCTAAAGACAGGGATCCCATCGATTCCAAGATGGTCTCTGCAACCCAAACTGATGAGAAGCGTGTTATCGACGATAATGAAGCGCAACGCATGGCTGATGAGATTGAGGCGACACGAATCGCCGAACAAGAAGCTCGCAGGAGTGGACATTACGACAGCATTGTTCCAAACCTGTTGGAGTGGTGGATGAAGAATTTATATTCAGGAGATGCTGTCGACAAAGCATTGGAACGTCATGACCGTATCCATACGGGTAACGATCTTTTTATGGCATGGGAAGAACGTTTTCCTGCTGCTTGGAACCAACCCTGCCTCCGGTATGATGATCCATTTAACGACAATACCGGGACAACTACTTGTGAAGATCGTTTCTCTCGCATTTTCACATCGATGAATTCAGATAATAGTCAATTGACACAGTACCTAATTGCGGCATTTGATACTGAAACGATGGAAGTGAATCCGTCTGAAGAAATCTGGTCCTTACATATTTTGGCTATGCGGATTTCCCTACAAAATCCGTTTTCCTTTTTCGGTATTGATGAGTTTGAGGGCAAACCGGCTAACAACCAATTCTTCTCCGGCGAAATGTCCAATCCACGGCTCCGCTTGGAGCATCCCTTGGTGGGCTTTTGGTTAATTTGCTCCGAGTTGTTTGATTACCCTTGGATTAATGAGTTTCTGTTGGAGTATTACGACGACCCGCCATCCGCAATTGTCGACACAATCAAACAAACAAGAAGTGGCAAGTCTATCAACAATGCTCCAAATCGAGAATCATTGAAGGAACCGGATCCGCCTTGTATCCAAAAAATATACAATCCAATGTATTCTATTGACAAACCGGGCACGGAGGTTCAACGCGATTCCACCAGCTCCGAAGGGGACCAGGTGCAAAATCCAAATCGCTTTGCACCTCTACAAAGTGATGATGACTCGTTTGAAGATAGTGGAATTCAGGACTTCTACGAGGTTGAAGTGGTGGCGGTGAAAAATAATGCCCCCAAGGCGCCTGAGTTGTCGGATGAAGACACTGAAGATGACGACACCAACGACAGGGAGAACATTGTGGACGACGCAATGGAGGAAGACGAGGATGACGAACGGGTCAATACCGCTGGGGCGAACCTGCATGATGAGGCCATGGACGACAACACTCTATCGTTGACTTCTTCTAAACTTACGGCAAAACAAGACTCAGCAGGTACAGGGACCTTTATGGAGCCCTCTGAATCAACTCCTTCTCGCGTTCAACGCCCCCCAACACTGGCCGAACGGATCTCGAACCTCATTCAGGTGAACATGGAAGGGATACCAGGCAAGTGCCACATCTTTGAGACAACTTTCTCCGTGGACTATCAAGGGTCGGATTCAGGAACTGTGGCGGAGGCGCTCTTGTCGACAGTTCTGACGTCCATGGAGGAAGCCATCAACAATTCCCCTAATGAATTGAAGCTTCTTCTGATCTCTGATACCACATATAAGCAACCAAATCTTTGGATTCGAAACTCAGTAGATTTACGTAATCGCATTTTGACTTATCGCTCTCTGTCAACTTAATGTGATATGGAATACGGTAACTGTCCCTACGCGGCAACCAACAGCAAGCCGGGCGAGAAGAAACTACGCACACGCATTCGCGTCGGCTTCTCGGCTGAGGCTTCGGTCGAGGCCGTCCAAGACTATC